TTCCGGATATATCCGGAAGACTTTCATCTCTGACTTTAAGTGCAAAGTTCCATGTATATTCAAAAACAATACAGAATAGATTTGACCACATTCTGAAGAAACAAAACTACCTTTATCCTGAAACTTTTCTGCAGACATTTCCTTAAAATGTTAGCATGCTAAACATCAAAATCAGTGGGTTTAAAAACATAACTGTTCCTGTTCTTAAGAATGTACTACACTAATTAGTATTATTAGTGTAGTATTATTACTATTATTCAAACTCTACAATATATTCTATAGGTACCTATTGATATTTTAATTACATAAAAATCAACACCAGACAGGTAGAACAAGAAATGAAAGATTGACCTCACAAGACAACATTTACTAAAAATAAAAGTTTAATACTTGTACATACCTTTCATTAATTCCCTTGTTCATCCAAACAGATCAAAAACAAATATCCACAAAGCTTTTAGTCCACAGGTATAAATAGTCAACTACCAATAAGAAATTTCAAAATTTAAATGTAGGTTTGACTTCAATATCAAAAACGTTTCTATTGTTGAGCTGTGTGTATCCCGTAAGGGAATATGGATTTTGACTGCAACTCGGTAGATCTAAAGGTTGAAACCACTTCTCCCATCTCCATAACACAGTATGTTTTAAACATGAGTTTATCTAAACATTTCTTTGAATGTTTGGCATGTTCTTCTAAAGTGGAAACCCCTTTAGATTTGTATGCTCTGAGTTTATTGTAGGCTACACACAAAGCTTTCTCTGGTATGTCCACCTCATGACAGTTCATTAAGTTTGAATGACACATTACCACTTCTTTTTAGAACGACCAACTTCTCTAGCCAAATCCGTAAAAATTTATTTTTTACTTCATTGTTGTTTACTCTGACTTTAATCCTGACCCATCAAATTTTTGTCAACTCATTTTCTTTGTGTTGTTAACAGTGCCTTTACTCTATTCAACACAGTCCACATATTGTTAGCAGTGCTTCATTCATACAATATAGTAGTGATTTCGGAAACTGGAGACTACATATGTATGAGGTAAAATGGGAGTATTTCAGAACACAAAATGTGCCAGGTATTCAAATTGAGGTGATCATTGAGATAAATAAATAAACATAGGTTAAGACTGTTTCACAATACAATGTTAAAGTAAAAATATGGGGAAAATCACTACAAGGACACCAAACCCAATTTTTGTTCTGCCCTTCTACATTGATCTTAAGAATGATAATATTGACTAACAAAAATCTGAAATCCTGATATATTATGATACAAAATCATTTACCTTATCTAAACTTAAAATATTTAAAAGGAATTTTCTTCTTTATATGTATAACTATAAACTAACCTCCCAGTCTAGGTAATCTTGTCCATCTTCAAAATGTCGGAGAATGGAAACAGACACATGAAGTTTGTTAAACTCGTCACGAGTAATTGGGCTAAAACGGCTGTCTTTGAAAGCACTGTTAACAGTCAGAAATCATATTATTGTTTTTAAAAACAATACAATAATAATATATGTTGGAATATATGTTGTTTATTTGTATTTTGAATTTACCATGAAACTCATGCACACATAGTTAATTCTAAAAACATCAATGAATCACAAACTATCAGATGATGTGTGTTTAATGAATAGCTTCTACAGTAGTAACATCTTAAATACACTATAAATTAACCTAGAATCTAGATTATGCCTGTACATTAAATTCTCTAAAAAAAAGAATTCACAAGACCTATTTTCTTGAAAATTTAAAGCACCAAAATACCACAATCTTTTCACAAGTTTGACTGGTACATTTCATTAAAATACATCAAAACTGTCTTAGTGTAAAGAAACAGAATTAGCTGCAAATATCAAGAAAAATTTATTACATTGAATTATGAAGGCTTTAAGCAATACAGTTTAAGTTCAAGTTAACTGAAATCATATAGTATTAAATGAATAACCTTACACTTGTAGTAAAACTATAGCTTATAAAGAATAATACATAAAAACCCATTTGAATAACCATGCAGAAAAGATATAACTGTGCTGAAAAATCATACCCATTTCTTGATGTGCAAATGAAAAGATTCCAGTATTCAAAGCCAAATAAAAAAACTTCTACCCTACTAACATGGTTCCCACAACTTTGGCAGAATGAAATTCACCAACTTTTCCTAGACCTTTCCCTGATCAAAATATGTTATTCCCTCACCATTTGTTCTATGCTTGTAATGTATCATTACCTATAATAAAATGTGAAATTCCAAAACATTATTCGGTACTTTTTAATAAAGACAAAACATTCTGTTTGTTCAGTCACAGTTTGCTTAAATATCATCTAGCAGAATTTCAGTATGATTGATCATGCCATTACTGAATTATTGAAACTTTATTAGAACACGAACAACAAAGTCAATTTATCCATTTTTTTATGATAGTGCATACTGCTCACACTTTTTAACTTTAATCACAAAAATTTTATCACATCATAAATAACACTTGTGATTACTGCATTAACTTTTAATACATGGAAGAAACATGTCGATGTTCACTGTTGAAAAATGGAATATTTTTTAACAAGTACACTTCTCGTATGTCAAATATTTATCAAAGCAACACTTTCAGAGTGTGTATGTGAATGTACAACACTTTCATTTACTATTCATATATTGAAATAAACTCATATTTCCAATATCTACAAAACAATTGCACATGTTAACAGAATCATCCACTGATCAAGAGCACATTTCCACACGTGCTTTAAAACTAAGTGTATCAAGCTCATCTGTATCAAAAGTTTTAAAATCTTTGAGTTAATGTGACAATAAGTGTCAAACGTGTCTCCAAATTACTAATATTATATATTGCCATCCATATTTTGCTTTATATACATTTTCCTAAGCTGTCACAGATGACATTCTACCTGTCTCTTGGAGAGACTTGCCCAAACTGTACTAGCATCATGTCTTTGTGTGCTACAGGCAATGTTTAGTGATGTATACTTTGTTTTATAATGAGTTAAAACAAAATTACTATTAAATTATTATGGTTATTTTTGATAATTAATTGAATAATTATAAGTGCAAGTACAAAATATACAGAAGGTATTGTGTTCCTTCTATTCTACTGACCTGGGGATTGTTTTTTTAATGTACTCAAATTTGTAAGATGAAAATGATTAATGGAAACAACCTATCTTTAAATAGTAGTTTGTTAAGGGTTTTAAGGCTTAGTCTGTATTAAAATAGTCCTCCATGTGACTAATTATAGGAAGACAAGATGAAGCATGCTCCATTTAAGCAAAGACCTAGCTGTTTCTAAGCATAAGCTATTAAAGACTCTTCATACTCCATGATGCTTAACAGTACATAATAATAGGAAGACAAGATGAAGCATGCTCCATTTAGGCAAAGACCTAGCTGTTTCTAAGCATAAGCTATTAAAGACTCTTCATACTCCATGATGCTTAACAGTACATAATAATATTTTAATAAAATCAATGTAGATATAACAATGTTTATGTATAAAATATACACATTGACATGCCAAATGCACCAGAATTAACTTTATGTAAGTTTGTAGCACTAATAACAACTTATTTTTTCACCATGTCCTATAAGCATCACTGAAGTGTATGAAATTCAATTATTTTTCCCAGTAATGGTCTGCAAAATGAATTCCCTAATGTTTACCAGGCCAGAACACAAAATATAAAATTCATCGATTTTTCCCTGTTTCCCTGACCTATGGGATCAATGTACTTACCTTGTCACAGCATATTCCCTGAGTCCATTGTGTAGATTCATTGAGTTGAAGGTTCCAATACAGCCTCTCAATCTCCTGTCTTTTCCTATCTTCCATGTAACAAAAAGGGGACTAACAAAAGACGAGAAAAGTTACAAAAGAATAATACCCAAGAAAAGGTAAATGTGTAAAATTTATACAACTGCACTATTTTCAGCTAAAGCTAACATTTTCTTTACCTAAACATGTATTTCTGATAGACACTCACCTCTAACACAGTTTAGCTGTGTTTCCTGTCTTTCTATCTTAGAGATTTCCATGCTACTAGCTTTAAAGCAACTCCTACCTAATTTTACATGAATTACACTATTGCATGATGACATCATGTAGCAAAAGCCAATAGGAGTGCAACACACCTCCATGCACAATAACTACCCTTATGCACTTGTACTCATGAATCTTCATTCTCTGTCTTGTCAAAGAAACAAAGTTGCACCAGAAGTGGGGAGAATGGGTAGGAATGCATTTCAAGGTATTTATTGGATATACATTTTCATGTAAGAAAAATGTTAACTTCTGAGACAGTACCTCCGTCTGTATAGTGTTTTACTGATAATTGGTTCAGCAATCTGAATCAGTAGAATTTGTTGAATTTCCCAATCACAAAAAAACCAATTGCTGAGAAACTTAAAATAATACCACCTAAACCACTTTATTTAAAACAACAATCTTCTAATTTGTAAGTATGCTTACAATCATAACCCTGTACTTTTTCCTTTTTCTTTTGACAAAAAACACGAAACCTTATTCACCATAGAATAAAATATAATCAGTTAAAACAATTTCTGTCTGTTGCTTATTTATTTACACAAGTTGATACGCTGAACAAAAGAAAGGTTAAAAAACAATGCTCTGCACATCACAAAGCACACCCATTTCTTTATGGACTGTACATTAGCAAATGTTCAATAACAGCACCCTATATACAGAGCTAATACACACTGTGTGCTTCCTGGAGATCTATACAGACTTTGCCTACGAAGTTCTTGAAATGATATGCCATGTTTGACGCTTAGTTCACCAGTTCTTAGGAGTAAACATTATTTTTGCTCTTTTTACAACGTCTGTCTTGCAGCACTGGTCAATTTTTCAAGTTCAAGCAAAGTAAAAACATTTAACTCTTCTTATTATTGTACTTTCCAAAAGTGGAACAATCTGCAATTTATTTTTGGAAAGGTTGTTTTGCGGCACGACTTTGTTCTCAGTATAACAGAGCCATGTATGATATAGTATACAGCTAACCCTGTAACACAATTCGTATATATGTTGAAGTTGGTATAAGAATGAACAATGAACATTTGTGCAATGCACACATTAAGTTTATGCATTACGATACACACACTGACACTCCTCAGCATAAACCATGCTTGTAGTCTACATTACAAGACATGAAGGCCTTAGAATCATACCAGATTATGAACAAAAACTTTAAAATGCTATCACTATTTGACTTTTGGTTGGAATACTTTATTTGTTTGAGAAAGTGGTTCAATATGTGTAGAGTGATAGCAAAAGTCTTTGTACTTATGGCTGAAGTGAATGATTAATTAAACAATGAACCTCAACAATTTGTCTCTCACAATGCTCACTTAACATTACGTATCAGTCATGTACCAGCCACAAGATCAGTCCTCATTTTTTATTTTTCACTTGTTTGTGTAAAAAACGGAAAAGAGAGTTTGATTTTTTTTATTTTTGTGGCTTCAACCATTTCAAATTTAATGAAACTTCAAAGTACATTCTCTGCAGTTGTTACACTTTTAAAGTTAAACTGTCAACAATACTACACAATGACATCAACTTTACTGTACATAATTGGAATCAGGCCAATTGTGCATTATAATAATCAGCAATTGGTGGTTTCCAATTGTAATCTGATCGGTAAAATGGTACCTTCGTACAAAGTTTAGCTTTGGAGATGCCGGTGTAACTTTTACCTAGATGAGCTCCCTTCAGAAAGTGCCATAAGAAAACTCATGGAGTGTGACACCCAATGGCAGAGGTTCTGTTGGGGCACACTAGTGGGAGATTACATCTCGTCCAAGGTAAACTTTTTCACCTTTATGGTACGGGAGAAAGACGCAAAGGAGCTTCATGTGTCACAGGCAGAATAAGAACATGACCATCCAAGTACTTGTACACAAGAGATAGAGAGATCTGGTTTGAAAGCCAATAAAGGAATGCAGAAAGTAGTCTGGGCAAGTTCTAGCCAACATAACAGTTTCTTAAGAAGAATAGACCCCAAGAATGAAAACCATGGGTCTGTAAGATATATAGTAGGAAACATAAGTGCATCTCCCAAAAGAATGAGAAGTTCTAGGAAAGCCAAAGTCCCTAAAAGCAAAAAAAACCTCTCATGTAGGAAGAGAAAAATAAGTGCAAAATCTGGTGGCCAGATATGCCATAGCATACAGGCAAAGGCAATAGGCTGATTGCAGTTGAAACAAGAGAAAATGTCCAAAGGTACCAAACAATGAGTGGAAGTGAGAAAGAAAACAGATACCAAGAAAAGCCCCTCAATCAAGTTGCCCTAGGTAAGGAAGGGAGGTAGGAGAAGAGCAAGAAACAAGAAGATATGAAAAGAAAAGGTTGAAGTATAGAACACAAAGAGGACAGGCCAAGAGAGATGTGTAGAAAGGTGTCCGACACATTGACCATGACCAACCACAGACTGGGTGAAATACTATAGATAAGGTCAGAGGAATGAGAAAAGGAGAGTAGGGAAAAGAACCAAGGTGAAGAAATGAAAAATGAACATCAGTATAAATTGAGAACAACAGCAGGAGAAGCATTAGGTACTCACACAATTGTAGTGTGTGATAGTCACTGACAAGCAAAAAGATGAACCAGACTTCTGGTAGAAAGAAGATGAGAAGGAGACAGATTTAGACAGGGAATAAGAGTAAAGGGCAAGGTCAAGAAAGAGGAAAAAGGAAAATACAGAGGGATAGAGCAGAAAAAGTAAAAAAAAAGAAAAGAGACAAAAATGCCTATAGAAGCCATCAGAAGCATGAAGAAGTGCTTCAAATAAAATGTGGGGTTAGGAGAAGGAATACAGAAGGGTAGAGAAAAAATCACAAAAAAAGGAAAAAAGGAGGGTCTAAAAGTGAAATATAAGGTAACGGGCATGATCCCCAAGCTGGTCAGTGATACCAATAACAATGAATCAAGATAGGCAAAGGAAAAAAGTCTACAAAGTGAGGGGGATGAGGCATTTGGGCAAGTGGAAAGAGATATCGGAGAAAGATAATGGCATAGAACCTAATAACAAGTACAGAGAAAAGACAAGATAAATCCCAAGAATTGTGGGTGACAGTGAAAAAATGAAAAATAATAAAGAACACGAGTAAAAGATACAGAAAGGAACATACCCGAGAAAGAAATGTAGAAAGAGATTGAAAGGTTAAAGTCATCTCATGAATGGTAAAGTACCATCCAAAGCAAATCAAGTGAGGGTTACAGTCCAACACATCATTTTTGACTGTTGAGAAAGAAATTTGAACAACAGAATGGGAATAAAAGGCCTATTAATCATATGTTAATCCACAACATGTTGAGCTATGGTTGCAACAACTGCAACAACCCTAACAGTTAACGAGTCTCTAAGAGCCACAGCTCCAATAAGGTCTAAGTGAACAACATTACCCACTCAGGACCTAACATAAATCACCATCCTTTGAAAATTCATAGCAAAACTTAAAGCTTTTAAAACAAAAGAAAATGAAAATGATGCAAACTTCAGTAATTTGAATGTAGACAAGCAATTTAAACACATCAGTTCAATACAATGCCAAAGAGAAGAATGAATATTTATGAGTACATAGGGTAGTTACTGTGCATGGAGTTGTATCACCCTCCTATTGATGGAGGGCTTTTGTCACATGATGACATCACCATGCACTAGTGCAATTCACTTAAAATCTCATGAAATTTGGTGGCAGTTGTTTAAAGGCTAGTCGCATGCAAATCTCTAATGCACCTGCAAAGTAAGATAGCCAAGCTATGTTGAGATGAGGTATCATCTCAGAAAACTGCTGATAAGTATCAGATAGTTCAACCTGCTAATAACATCAAAAATCACTCATGCAATAAAAATTATTTCTGAATCTCATAACTGAATTTTCCTAGTGTATGAATTAATGGAACTAGTCAAATATAGCAAAAATGAAAATAATCATTACCACAGAACAGACAAAAAGAAAACACAGCATATGTACCTGCACAAACAGAATTACAACATTCAAATTTCTTCTAGGTTGTTCTTAGTAGAACAGCTTTCACTCTCTCAGAATTGATTTCTCTAGAACTAAAACATGATGACTTTCAAGTAAGATCTTCACTTGATTAACTTCTAGTAGAATTGAACCAAAAAAGTGTGCCTCACTCAACAAGTAATTTTTGTTTCTTTGTCTAGTCAACAGTGTCACCTCGTGACCTTTGTTCTTTCACAGCATTGGTTGACTGTAACATAAAAATACCATCATTTTGGCCAGCAAAGGATATTACAGTCACCACTCCTATCTATTCAAATAGTACATATGACTGCAATTTCCTCTTGGGCAGAATAGACACTATCTGCTATACAGAATTAAGAAACAAAGCAACTAGAACAAGGCAATCTCAACAACCATGAGTTTATGCTAAAAGTGCATACATACTATATAAACACAAAATTAAAAAATGTCTATATCACTAAAGCAGGTAAAAACATGACCTGCCTGGATATCACAAAATAATAAACATTATAATTAAGTTCAACTATGTCAAATGGTACCAAATACTATGTTTTTGCTTTTCAACAGTTCATTCTGAGAACATTCTTTTACACGAGACCTTTCTCTTTCCATATGACTAATAAGCAACTATTCTATTTCTTGATGTAAAATCAAAGCAAGACCAGAAGGCAAAAATTCAGGAATACTAACTTCTCAGTGAGTTATCAGCGTATAGCCCTAAAGTAATACACAATTTATCAGTACCTAAGACTAGTACAATCATTTGAAAATGATGCAAATAATCATTGTATTCATATTGCTTACAAACATATTTATTAAAGATGGTTTTATGAACTA